GCAATTGCCTATGAGTTAGACTAAAATGTAACTTCTATAATCATTTACTAACCTTCTCTTCAAGGATTTGAAGCCCCAGGCCTATAGGAACGCTTATGATATTCCGCGACGGAACCTTCTAGATCAGGTGACTCGGATGCGGTCTAACCTTTTGAGGACAACGCAGAAGCTGATCAGAGGCCAGGATGATGGTAAATGCACCAATGAGACAAAATACATTTTGCTAGGTTTATTGAACCTTTCAGAGTCAAAAAAAGGTAATTGACTGTTGTCAGTAGTGTAGCAATGCATGAAGCACAGCTCACAAATAAATCACTTTCAAACCAAGCTGCTTTCTGAATAAGAAATTAAGCCATAGGTTTTTTTTTTTTTTTTTGCAAAAACATGTCCTATGTGAGCCGGCCTTAAAAATGACTATATGCATTTAGCATAACAACAAGAGACACTGTTTCTTTTCACTATAAGATTACATTTCTAATTACATTCCATTCCATCAAAAGTGTTCATGAATGGATAGTTATCAAACATTTTTTTTTTCATGATTCCTTAAGACTCCTTGCACAGTATTCCAGTCGGGCAGATGGGAAATTATCAGGAGTTTCTTAAGATGATGCCATCACCTCTGCGTGAGATTGATCCAGACCAGCCCAAACGACTGCACACATTCGGCAACCCATTCAAACAGGACAAGAAGGTGCTTGCACATTAAACCCATTGCTAAACAATTACAGGTCAAAACGGAAGTTTTAACATACTAAGTTGTTTTGTTTTCCCTCTTCCTCCTCTCCCAACAACAGGGAATGATGATAGATGAAGCAGATGAGTTTGTGACAGGGCCACAAAATAAGAAGCGAAGTAACACGGGGGATCTAAACTCGGGCACTGCCCTGAAGAGGCGGAGGAGTATGTCCCCACTGTTGCGTCGGCCCCAAACCCCTCCAATAATAACCAATCAAGTACTGGGCAAGGGTCCCGCAGGGACTCAAGGCCAGCAAGGAATCATTAAACCCATCCCACTACACAAAGGTAAAGTTCTCTGAGCCATAGCTGACTGAATCTTAGTATACTGTTGTTGTTTTGTTTTTGTAAAACAGTAGACATTAGGGGTGAGCAATACGACCAAAATCTTGTATCATGATACGAGTAATTTTATTTCAAGATAACTATATATATATATATATATATATATATATATATATATAACTATAACTATACATATTTGTGCTTTAAATAAGATTTATTATTTAAATATCATTTATTTGAAATAGAAATGTTTTATGCATTCTTGCTGAGTAAAATTATTCATTTCTTTCAAAAGAAAGCTAAAGTTTACTATAACTGCTATTCCACTGAAAAAGTAACCATGAATTAAAGCAATAATATGCCATCATTTGTTTTCTCATGCAGGAGCAGAAGAGAACAGTGTAGGGGTCACAGAAAGCAATGGGGAGCGGGAGCCTGGCGATGATGCCGGAGACGAGTGGCCTGGAGGCGTGGATGGAGAGGGAGAAGGACCTGCACCTGCGGAGGACAGAGGAGAGGTGGAGGCACCGGACGGCGAGGAGGAGAGAATAGGACTGGAGAACTGTCTGGATGAAAGACTCTCTGATCACACACAGAACTGTGAAGACCTGAGTCCTCCAAGCCAGGAGGAGGCAATGGAGGGCAATGGAGAAGACGCTCCAGAACAGGGCACAATCGTTATGATTCCCCTGGAGGGGAGTAACGCGGAGCTGCGCACTCGAGTCATCAAAGAGGTCCGCAAGCCTGGCCGTAGTGAGTATCTAATTATAATGCCAATTGAAGTTTTTACACCCATTCATTTCTTTATTCGCTTTGAATTATTGTCTAGGTTTAATCAATTACAGAGGGTATATATTGTAGGATTTAATAAAGCCATTGCTCGTTCTTTTGTGCAGATTATGAGGCAGTTTTCAGGTTACTGGAGGAGGTGAAGGGGCCAGTGTCAGTGCAGAGGTACTTTATTCATCATGCCATCAAAGAGGCAGCCAGGTAAGAGCTTTCTTTAAACCTCTCATGCTTTTCATGGTTCTCTCACCTATATGACACCATAGAGGATGTCAGTATGTTGTACTTACTGTATATATATATATATATATATATATATATATATATATGTACTTACTGTATAATAATTTTGTTGTGTGCTTCTGTCATTTTTATTAATACAAAGTTCTATCATGAAACTCTAGATGGCTTATAGGTCGTTTACTCAATCTGGTTGCAATTACATCATTCTCTGTGCAGTACAGCTGACTTCTGCTGTATCAGTTACCAATGAGCAACTAGAAGTGTTCATCTATTAGTTCAGTTGTATTTTTACTACTCGTAGTAAATCCACCTAAACTTGTTTTATTTCACTAATTTAAGTTTTTCAAGTTTATTTTTTCATCTAATATTTTATTTTATTTCAGCTTTAATTAAATTAATAATAAAAAAATGTATAGTTTTATTTAACAATAACAGCGCTGATCCTCTGCCTCTTGCATGTTCACTTTTTATTATTATAATTCAATTATAATCATTATAATTATTCATTTTAATTTTTAGCCACAGAAAAAAAATAAAAAAATTAAATAGAAAAAAATTAAATGGATCACAAACATTTTTTGGATTAAGGCTATGGGTCACAACAATAAACATATTTAACAAACAGTACAAGACCTTGAGCTCTGTTTAATATACCAAAATTCATTTGCTGTGTTCGAAATTTCCACTCCAACCACTAGGGGGTAGGGAGTAGAGCACTATATATTGAGCTAATAGAAACCTAGATAGATGGCCGTTTCTGTTATAATGCGCTACTCCACACATGATTATAACTTATTTTTACGATCAGCGCAATGCATAATGGTATGTAGGGCTTGGGTTAGTGACCATCGGTTGTACACTACTTTTCAAAATGCATTCAGGGATACATTGAGTGGACTATATAGGGTATAATAATCATCACTATACATTCGGACAGCACTACAAAATGGCGAGCTCACTATATAGTCCACTATATAGTGAGTAGTGGGTGATTTCGGACACAGCAACTGTATAAAATTACACACAGCATTCTATATAGTTAGTGCTGAACACACTTATAGCCAGCAAAAATAATTTTCTTAATCAGTAATTTTGTTTTTTTAAAAAAATATTTAAATATTAAAAAAACAAAAACAAATTTACTTTAGAAGCAAAATTACATAAAAGCAAAAAATTATTTGTTTTAAGCATAACCCCCACAAAATTTTCTTATATTCATACTTCAAACAAGTAAATGTGTCAATGATAAAAAAAACCTTATAGACTCTTTGAGCGCTAGTTTTAATATTCTTAGTTAAAAAGGTTTTTTTCTTTATATTATTTCAATATTTCAATTCAAATAGGATAATAATATATTTATATAAATATTAATATACTGTAAATAAATCCAGCTAATCTCTATCTCTTTCAGGTTTAAGAAGCGTGTGCTGATCCAGCAGCTGGAGACCGCTCTGGAGGAGATTGAAGAAAAACAGATGCTGCCCGCACAACTCAACAATATCCACAGCAGATAGTGGGACGTCCCATCCCACCGCTGAGAAACGCGAGACGATGGAGAAGTGGCAGAGCATGCCGACTGAGCACACGGGGTTGAGACGGACCCTTCAGCGACGGTGAGAGAACATTGCTGTAAGAAGAACATTAAGGAGGATGGAGGCCTGTCCGGCTCACGCTCTGGTCCAGGCGCTTCCAGTTACTGAATTGTGACATAACTCTGAAAGAGTGCTCACAATGTAGAGAGGCGTCCCAGGTTTGACAGGGGATTTCTGTCCAGTTGTAGGCTTTGTGGACCAGAAAATGATGTTATTTAGCCATAAAGTAATGAATAATGAATGAACAAGCACACTCCAGAAAAGTCAAGCCTCGCCCACTATGTGATATCACAGGATCATCTGAGGCAGAGGTCAGCGCCTGTCACGTGATTACTGTATGTCTATATATTATGTCTGTCCACTGTTATTTGGCATCAATGGGTTGTTCAAAGCAGATAAAAGTATGAAAAATCTAAATCTAATCTCTCAAAAGCAATAACCCCACACTCATCAGTAGGCCAAGCTCATTTTTTCCTCTTTAAGAGTGGAAAACAAATGAATTTTTCAGAAGAATGTCTTTGATACTCAAGAGATTTGGTAGCTGGGCTGTTGTTGTATTTGTGGTGATATGTAATGTCACATAGATTAGCATCATTCAGTGTCCTATAAGCAATAGTGTCCAATGAAAATACAAACACCTTGTCTACACATGGAAAATGCCAACTATTGTGTGAAACGAACTGGTCCACTGCAGAGTTTTGGTTGTGTCCAGTATATGGTCACCTGACATGTTTGGTCATCCTTTGCTTCTCATCAGGGGAGAAGTCGCAGACTCCTAAGTTTCATCATTTCACAGACGCAAGCTACACGAGTGACCACATTCTTGTTGGTTCTGTTCATTTTTAAAAACAGAGGTGTACTACTTTTTAATGTTCATAAATACTAAAGATTATTTTTGGATGGTATTCCTACAAGAACATAAAAAATATTTTAAGAATTGTATAAAGCATTTTGTAAACTGATATTATATAGACAAAGATTTATGATTTTTTTTATAAAAACAATGAAAATGAAAAATAAAAACAAACATTACAAAGGAAAATGTGTGCATTATTGTAGAATTTTATATATTCACTAACGTTCAAAAGTTTGGGGTCAATACGATTATTTTTTAAAGAATTAACACATTTATTCAAGGATGCATTAAATTGATCAAAAGTTACAGTGAAATATATTTACAATCTTACAAATGATTTCTAATAGATGCTGTTCTTTTGAACTTTCTATTCTTAAAGGATCATTTCACCCACTTCAACATTAATCTTCATTGAAAGTGGATCATATATGTAGTCGAAATGTAAAAGAATGTTTGAATTTGGTGCCGAGGGCCGCATTTGTATGTAAGACAACAACTCCTTAAAAACTCTGTTTTTTTATTGTCATTCCTCATTTTAAACAAATCCTTCTGAATTGATTCCAACAATATTGTTTCTCTGTGACTGGTGTAGACTCCGACATTTTTTTATAATCAAAACTATTTTTACTACTATACATTATCCTTTTAGTCTTCCCTTTGGTGTGAACGGGCCTCAAGTATTTGGTTTATGATGTCAAAGTAAAACTACAGCAGTAGAAATACTGTAAAGTTGTACTAATAACACAAGTATTATCTCACAAAAGGTAATATGATCTTTGTCAGCTTAAATCAATGTCACATTAATACCAAAAGAGACTAAATAGTGTTGGGATAAGTGGGTTGCCATTGCAGATACTTAGCTGGTCTCCTCTAACAAAAAAAGGGGGCTTAGCGAAGGATTAGTATAATTACAGGCTTAAACTGGACCGTTTCTGGACCAACTGCCCATTCTTTACTTGCATGGAAAACAATGCATAACCAGGTTGATTTACCACAACCATGTCATTGGATGCTCCAGATCCAACATGACAAAAATGTTTTGGCCGGTTAGCAAGTCTTGACATTGCATAACAATCTTTATAGCGTAAAATGAACAATTAATCATTATCTCCATTAGTTTCAAACACATTCAGGATAACCTAAACTTATAAAATGAAGGGGCAAAAATAAGTGGTTTTAATGCAAGTTACAAATTCATCAACAAAATTTTAGAATTTATTAAGGTAAAAATAAGGAGTTGTCTCAACATGAAATAAATCAGAAAACATTAACCTCTGCCCACCCCCCTCCAAAATGGAGTGTTCACAGTATTGTTAGAATTAATATTATTCTACATTTATTGTGGCCCAGCTCAGACATCTTTAAATAGTTTTAATCATTATCAGTATTATTTAAATAAGTTAAAACTTGAGAGCTACTGCTTATGAACAAAAAAAAAAACAATTCATGGTCCACAATATCGACCTCAATTAAAAAGGGTACAGGGAAGAACCTGTTGCAGTTGGGGGTTCAGTTTAGCCAAAAAACATGGCAAACCAACGTTGTACATGGTAGGATCCGTGCCCTGTGCGCGACAGCCAACCGGAGGGCTACAGCCGTAACCTAGACTTAAGACTCCCAAGCAATCACAAGTATTTACAAACATATCAGCTGGAAAAGGAGTTGGCACAGTCCATTGACAAATAGTAACCACAAGAGATGCGTATTTGTACAGCATATTCACATATACATAAGACAGGAAAATATGCTTATTTTCCTTCCAACCGAGGAGCTAACAAATAAATTTAAGAAAAACAAAATGAAACCGGGCAAGGCAGCCCACAGAAGGCCAGTCTCAATGAAAGTTTTCCAGCTTGCGTAACCGCAGGGGATTGGATGGTAAGCCATGGGGGCTCGGAGTGGAGGGCTCCTGCTCGGGAGCGCTGAAGAGTACTCTGCCTCGGTGATTGAACAGGTAGAACGACGGGTGATTTCTCAATGTGTCAAATGTCCTGTTAGAGCAAACAATAAAGAGACATATTAGTGACCTCGATGCAAGTTTCATTGGTAATGGTAACAGCCCATCTCTGATATAGCCAGGCATTACTTTATGGTCCATGAGCTTACTTGTTTTTGAGCTCTGAAGAAGCATCCATGTCTTTGAACTCGCCTGAGATGTGCACTATGCCATAACATGTGATCACAAACGACAGCAAAGTCTGTAACACTATCTGAAAACACAGCACAAGAGAAGCTGTTTTGAGGAAAACAAATGCATGTGATCCAATATGATAAATCCCTGGTATTTGTTTGCAACTTACATCTATAGGTAACGTTTCATTCTCTTTTTCCGTCAGGCGCATGTAGGATCGGTCTAGAAAAGGAAAATATCTTTTTAGGATGAAAGAGAGATATTAAACTATTCCCTCTAAACAAAGGTGTTTATAAAGAGTTACAGAGTTGGAAGTAACATAATACAACCATTCATGCACATTAAAAGTTCTAAAAACTGCATTTATTTTTTGCAAAGGGCACATTTGGTCAAGTTTATAAATTACATCATACCATGGTCTCTGACATTCAGTCACATTGGCCTTCAATTATCATTCTTGCATAGAAACGGGCGTATATGTTGGCGTAAGATTATGATTACGCTGCCTGATTTATGAAGCTGTGCATTATACGTTTGAAATCCAGGTGTACGCAATGCCTGCCCTTGATAAATGCCACGGCTGAAAACGATCGTCATTAGAATAACACGCCCCTATAAATTCAAGTCTCTGCTTCCCCCATGCCCTCATTCTACACCATGGACACACAGAAGACGGCAAAGAAGAGCAACTTCTCCGATGTGGAGCTGAAACGACCTATCATAATGCATTATTTTACAGCACGTGTTTTGAAATAATTAGCATTCAATTTCGTATCACGTCACATGTATTGGGGTGCACAACAGTGATGATGTAGCCTAGAAATTTAGACGCACCCTAGCGGCAGCAAAAATTATTTCGCAGCCAGTGTGGTTTAGCAACTCTCCATAGACGTTTTAGCTGGAAAAAGCAATCTCTGGTCAGGCCAATCACATCGTGTATAGAGTCGACGGGCGGGCTTAACATAATGATGACAGCTGCGACGGTTCACTGCTGCTGGCGAACAACTGTCTTTCGATTCGGCTTTGACTGCTACTCTGGATGATTTGAACTTAAGCTTTTCTTTGAAACCAGAACAAAGAATGGCACTTGAGTCATTAAAAAAAAAAAAAAAAAAAAAGATGTGTTCAGAGTTTTGCCGACTGGATACGATAAAAGTTTAATATTTCATAGGACTCAGTCATCACCTTCTTCGTTGCTCTGATTGGTTGTAGGCAGCGCTACCCAATTGCGTGAAAGACAACCGTTTATCCCGCCCCTCGGATTGAGCCTAGTCATCTTGATGTAGGTGTGGCATGCCAGGCCAGTGATGATGATGATGATGATCAGGGCTCTAAATTAACTTTTTTGATCACCAGCCAATGTTTCTGAAGTTACCAGCCAATCAGAATTTCCACTAGCCAATTTTTTCCGGTGAAAATAAGAGAAATTATGAGTGCCACTGAATGCATTTGATCATTTTATAAACATATTTGGCATGAAAAATACAAAGTACGATACAAAACAAAGTGCAAACATTTAATTTAAAGTTTAGAATCTATCTATTAGGAATGTGCACGAATATTCAAATCTTTGATCTGTAATTATGTGAAAAATAAAATACTATTCGAATTTTACTTTTTTTCTTTAATTTTTTTGTCCCGCAGTTATTATTAAATGCACTGGGTGCAGTGTGTTTAACAAATGGATTGTATTTGTATTTGATCACATAATGTCATTGTCTACCTCGCTAAATTTGGAATTACTGATAAATGATAGCCTATTATGAAATGGAATTTTTTAATCAATTATTAATTAAGCTGAGTTATAGTAACATTAACACAATGAGAAACCACATTAAATCCAAAAAAACAGCAGTCGACTGAGAAAGCAGCTGTTCATCACAGCATTAAGGACTGCAGGTCAGCAGCTATCGTGATCCGAGATTATATTTCTGGTAGCAAAAGGATTTTGAGACACGTGCTTCCTTTAAGTTTCTTTTTTGGAGACAGTTTTAAGAACAGAAAACGCAAAGTGCTGTTACTTCACTTTGCACACACAGACGCGTCTCTGCAACGTCTGTGTCAACGCAGCACGTTTTCTCACTCGGGCATGTGGATATAATTGTTTTTCTCAACATGAAAGTGAAGGATGGCACAGTGTTCATGGGAAATGTAGGAAGTACTGCCAGGGGGATAAATGACCGAGAATAGAGCCTCATGTATAACCGGCCAAACTGGCTAGCTTTATTAAAACCCACCAAAATGAATTTTAACCCGCATTTGGCGGGTGTTAATTTAGAACCCTGATATGATGTGATGGAGTACCATTCATTCACATTAATCATGGGAAAGACAGCTGTCCAACATTGCATTCACGACTGCAGGTAAGCACAAAAGGTGACAAAAGCATAATGTCAAAAAAATAACGTCTTTCTTGTTCAGCTTAATTTAAATCATATTTTTGAAGTTGGAAGAGTTTGGGTAGTGTTAACGACATGGTAAAGCGGTAATCCACCAGTACCACTGGAATTAAAAACATTATTATAAGCTTACTGCTTTGAATCGAGCTAAGGCAAGCAGACACTGGCTGGTTATGCATTTTCTCAAATATGTATTTTGGATCATTTTGAACCCTAAAAAAAGCTACGGACTACAGCTTTAAGATGCTGTTTTCAGCACTGCAAATCCACTTTGCATGCACTCCCAAAGGATGGACTTGTGCTCAAATTCATATGGTAAAAAGATGCCACACAAGCGATAATTTACATATACATAATGTATAATGCGTCAATACCCAGCCATATATATATATATATATATTATATGTGTGTGTGTGTGTAATTTTTAATTTAACAGTGATTGGATTAGCAGTGATGATATCTGTTTGTTTTTTTGAAGAAGTTTAACAAAGGTTTTATTTTTTTTAATAAACGTTTATTCTGACATCACTACTGCAGAAAAAAGCAGGTGAAATTGCATTATTTGGAAAGGTACAAAGTCTGGTAGCTATTTTTCATTTGTTTAGTTCCTTAGTTAAGGTTAATCAACACATTGCCTTTAGGGTAGGTTTGAATAATGCAAGTTTACATGTAACGAATAACTGCTGAAATACCAATCACACTGCGTTGTCGATTAAACTCAACACACACCGCAAAACAGTGATCTTGCACAAGTCTCAGTCAGACTGCCTTATTGTGGTTTATTGTAGAAAATAACTTCTTCCCGTGTATTGTTCCGTTATAAATGTAGAGTTCAAAACATAGTAGTAAGCTACCGAACAAGACAGCATACTTGGACATAATATGTGTTCCCACACTCTCCAAAATGCTCTCTAACGTTACATAGGAAGCTCCCTCGGGTTTGAGTCCTGCTGAAGCTGCCATGCACTGAGCTCTGCAGAGAGGCCGCATTCACCGCCGGACCACTATCAGCTAACGTTACAGCTTACTAAACAACTGCATGTCTGTCCAATTCACTCTCGTTTCAGGAAGAACAATACTTACGCTGTGCCGCTGAACAAGCTGCGTGTGCCAAGGCGAAAAGGCCTACACCGACAACACCTTTCCAAAAGGACGAAGCCATTTTAACTCGAGCACAACCGATCGAGCCAATGCTGGACGCGTGAAGCACTCCTCAATGAGCGCTGCGTCATCACCATCACCGCCGCACTTCTTCTTGTTTTCCGTTTAATGGTAGATTGCAACCATGACTTTTGAAAGTGCATACCGCCACCTACTGTATCGGAGAATGTAGCAAGAACTATTCGATGGGACTACTTTATATAAAACACTAGATCCTCATATATATTCCTATGTTTTTTCAAATATTGTTTACTGCTTTACCGCTGCACTTCCGATTGTCCTCTTTAAAGTTCATTTAAAAAAAAAAAAAATTGTTGAAAATTTACTCACCCCCGTCATCCAAGATTTCCATGTCTTCAGTTGAAAAAAAATTAAGGTTTTTGATGAAAACATTCCAGGATTCTCTCCATATAATGCACCTCATTGGGAACCAAACGGTTCAAGGTCCAAATGAGAGTTTCAGTGCCACTTCAAAGGGCTTTAAACAACACCAGGCAATGAATAAGGGTCTTGTCTAGTCTAGGACCCTTCGAGTCATGACTCGAAAAAAGATTTGTTCATTTTGATGAATGGGTTTGAACAGGAGAGTCACAAACGCTAATCACAAAACAGAGCAAGGCGAGCATTTGTGCTAATAAAACAGACCGTTTCACTAGATAAGGCCCTTATTCATTGTCTGGTATTCTCATTATCATTATATGATGGTTGTGTACAGGCACTGGCAGCATATTTCAGTACAATTAACTTGAAAAAGTGCATGACCCTTTAAACTTTTTGTCTTTGTCCTTCTTATATTTTGTAGAAGATGGAGAAAACCCCATATATGCAGGTGCCAGAAACATCCACCTATGGGATATTACAATGGAAGGAGCGAAACACACCCGCAACCCTTTCTATTTCCCCTTTTTTGTCTTAACTTCCCCCTTTCTCCCTCCCTCTCTCATCTTTTCTCTCTCCTTCTTTCTCTTTCCACCTCCCTCTCTGTGAACTAGTAGACCACTTCAACACAAATCTTATACACACAGTCATGTACACTCTTTCTCATTCACATATGGACACTCATTCCTGTTACCCAAGTGTTCATTCCTGTTACAAACTGTTCATTCCAGTTACTATTTTCTTATTTTTTCTAAAAAATTAAGTTAAACCAGTGTTTTTTTTTTATCAGTTTTGTTTGGTCCATCATTTACAAAATAGTTTAATAAATTAAAATATAAAAATAAACTTGAGGGTTTGGTCTTCTTTAACATGAAAAGAAGTAGCACGTACTCATTGAAGATCCAGGGGATGGAGCTGGATCCAGATCTAAGGGGTGGAGATGGGTGTGGGGAAAACAAGGAATTAATTGGTATGCTTTTAAACATGCTTATTAAATGGCACAAACATTCCGGTAACAGGACTGAGAAAATATGCGTCCATCTTCTGCTTAAACCTGGTAAAATAAATAAATAAATAAATAAATAAATAAAGTTGCCTGATTGACCAATACACATTTTGAATAGGTAAGTATGTGTGGTATTACTGTAAAGTCAGTGTTGAAAAAAATATGTTTTTTAAAAAAAACAAGTACATTTTGAAGAGTTACAACAAACAAATATCACCCATTCGGTGGAATGGCCCATTTGTCAGTTTAGGAAAATGAGATATGAGGGTTTTAAACAAAAAAGTTGGAGTGCATGGGGATTTTAACTTGTCATTGCAGGAATATTGCATCATAATTGTAGCTCTAAGTCTAAACAAAGCCCCGATAGTTATACAGATTGATTGTTCGACAATGACGATGCAGAATAAAAAGAAACGACCCTCATGCGCATTGCGCAGCGTTTGCCCATTATGATCTGCTCGAACACATTTTGAGTTGTCATGTGACGTCACGTGCAGTGGGCGGGATGTCGCTGGGAATCAGGAACAATTTACAGCAGCCTATGATTGTATCTGCTAATACGCCTGTGTTCAGCGATCCTGAGCATAGTGCATTCATCTTCTTATATCCTTTGCACCTAAAAGAAATGGCAACATGGGCTCTACATGTGAAATGAACGCCGCGATGAGTGTTTGGAGAAGACTGCCTCTGTTTGTTTTGGCGAGCTCCCTCTGCTTGTGCCTGAGCAGAGCTGAAGACAGCTCGATGGAAAACATCGTGACAGAGAAGAAAGCTGAAGAAAGCCACAGACAAGACAGTGCCGACCTGCTGATCTTTATCCTGCTCCTTACCCTGACAATCTTGACCATATGGTTGTTCAAACACCGCCGGTTCAGGTTTCTGCACGAGACTGGACTGGCTATGATATATGGTGAGAAGAGAACAGATATCAGATCATTTGACTGATCGCACATATGAACTGTGAAGTTGTGTTTCCCGTAATAAAGTGGGATCTGTTCATTTATGAGACGTTACGCCATGTATGATCATGACTGTTCAAAGGGCAGTGTGGGAGTTCTAGCACAGGGCCCAGGAGCTGTCCAGCAGGAGTTAATCTGCCTCTCTGCGTTCCCTGCATTTGCTTGCTGCTTTAAAAACCAATGCAATTCAACTTAAACTTAATATCAGTTTGCTGCAAAGGCAATGTTTCTCATTTTTATGTCTCAAGGTTTTTATATTGAATGATCTTATTTTATTAAATATGTTTATAATTTAAGTATTTCATTTGATTTAGTTTTATTTTAGTTAAACAAATTGTTTTAATAGTTTTACTTTTAGTAACGATATAGCCCTGAAACAGATGCTCCCGTGAGTTACCCACAGGCCACAGACAGTGTTTTTGGACATTGTGGCTGTCAATTCTAAGCTTGTTTCCGGCACAGAATTAAACAATTTAAAAGATAATTGCCAGTTTACTTCTTGCAATTCTGTCATTTTTTCCCCTCAGAATTGCTTGATAGAAAGTCTCAATTACATTTTTTTTATTTTTTATTCAGTGGAAGAAACAAGCCTCCATAAAATGCTATTTTTCTGTCTCTCATCAGGGTTGCTTGTGGGTGTCGTACTGCGTTATGCTATTCATGTGCCCAGCAACATGAACAATGTTACATTGAGCTGTAATGTCAATGCCAGTCCAGCTACACTGCTGATGAATGTCAGTGGTAAGTTCTACGAGTATACACTGAAAGGAGAGATCGGTGCCAATGAAATCAATGACATCCAGGACAACGAGATGCTCCGCAAGGTAAAATATCACATCACAACAATCATAGAGGAGCTTTTTGACCTACAACACATATTCAGATGAATTCGAAATCGAACACTTGACTTCAACCACAAATGCTATGGGGAATTTATTTGAATATGACTCATACTTGCATCTGTATTTTTAGATGGATATCCAGTCTGTTTTGCTGAACTCATTTATGTTTTTTTCAGATGCTTCAGGCAAATTTCTGATATAACTTTGTACCAATAATTACATTTTCTCACACATACTAATTCAGTGCCTAACAGAAGTAATCTGTGGTTGGTTCAGTCTCAAAACTATTATTCTCTGTTAGAACATTATGTCCCCCAGGTGACAGATGCTTGAAACTGCTTCTATATCGGTTACAATATGGGGTTTAAGAGTTGCATAATTTAGTTGTTGAAATGTATAATAATTGCATTAGATGTTTGAATTTTATGTGCATAGAAATCACTTTATATTCAATTATTGAACACTTTGCTCCAGTCAAACCATTAATAAGAGGAAATAGGTCAGATTTTGGTTGCACTTTATTTTACAGTACGTGCACCTGCGTGTAATAAAGTACTGGGAAATATGATCTAACTACATGGGTTAAGGTTTATGTTTAGAGTTAGGTTCAGGGTTAATACCTAGTTATTACCCAGTAAATGCAATTACTATAATAAGTACATAGTATGTAAACGAAGTTAGAAATGCTTTAAGTATATGATCATTATTTTTAAAACATTAAAACATATATTTTTTTTTCTTATTTTCTCATCGGTGAATGAAATGCCAATATCTGTATCTTTTTAATTCTATTTCAGGTGACCTTTGATCCAGAGGTCTTCTTTAATATTCTCTTGCCCCCCATAATATTTCATGCTGGATACAGTTTAAAACGAGTAAGGGCTGTTTTTTTTATTTATTAATGCAGACAAATGTTGTGTGCACAAGATCATGTAGTGTTCAACATAGACAAATCAAAGGCCATTATTCAATTAATTTCTTCTTTATCTGTTTTTTTAGAGACATTTCTTCAGGAACTTGGGCTCCATTCTTGTCTATGCATTTGTGGGAACCGTGGTGTCTTGTTTCATCATTGGGTCAGTCTTTTTTCAGTTTTTTTAGAGGGGTTGTTTTAATGATGAGTGTGAGAACCAGCTCTCAGAGGTGTGCGGTTTGTTTTTCAGGTTGTTAATGTACGGCTGTGTGACGCTGATGAAGCAAATTGGCCAGCTGGGTGGTGACTTCTTCTTCACTGATTGCCTTTTCTTTGGTGCCATTGTCTCAGCCACTGACCCAGGTATTACAGTCAAGACTCTCTGTAACAGTGCCGAAATGAGTGTTATCTACAAATTTTTGCAGTTGAAGTTACATATAAGAGCAATTTGATCTATCTTTGAAAAAGAAAAAAATGACCCTTTTCAAAGCTCGGCCCCCCTTGGTTACTGTTTCTCACTAAGACAAGCTGCACAGAGCTTCCCAATGAATGTGAGAATGCGATTAAAAGTGCAATCTTCAGTAAAAGATGCATCTAAATTGAATGGATGTTATTCTTACTTAAAAAAACAACATTTTATAATAACAATTTGCCTTTAATACACTCAGGACTTCCAATAGAAATTGCGTTAAAATTGAGAAAAAGCATGTCTGAAGCAGGATCAGTCAGTAATGTTGTAAACTCAGGGCTTAGGCATTGATTTATGCTTTGTTTTGTAGTAACAGTTCTGGCCATCTTCAATGAGCTTCATGTGGATACTGACCTGTACGCTCTGCTGTTTGGGGAAAGTGTCCTGAATGATGCCGTCGCTGTCGTACTGTCCTCGTAAGTCCTCTAATGCCTATGATCACACACTGCGATGTATAAACAAACCGCTTTTGTTGGGTTCATTCATTAATTTTGAGATATAAGTGATTTGGGTTTTTATAAACTCAATGCATAATGAATAATTAACACTTTTCATTTAACACCCGATTTTTCCTCTGCTGGACCTTTCATCTGCTCCAGTATGCTGCTTTATTACGGGAGGCAAAGTGGGGCGGGGCGTCACAGCCCTGGAGGTGTGGCTTATGCAGAGGGCGGGAACCAGACACTGAGAACGCCCCTCAATGGGTGTGCCACACATGTAGAGCTTTGAGCCTTCCGAGTGGATTTTTAGTGTATGCATTGGCTGGTCTTTACCAGAACATGCAGAGTGAATGACCCACAGACATGCGTCACACCAGCACCTGTAGTGTGAACTCATTCCTCAAGGAAGTAGAATACCTCTTTACTTCTATTTTAACTGCCTTAAAGAGGACTTATGAAGTCTCTTTCGGTTATAGACGGTGTGTAGATGATGAGGCAGAGCTGTGGGTATTTGCTGATTTAATGATAGTCCTTTGCTTCTTAGTTTGAAGTGATACTGTGTTGCTCTAGAGAGTTTACTTTTGTTCCTACCTGTCCTCAGTTCTCAAAATTTTGCATGTAAATAAATCTCTCTAAAAAGCTATTCAATTTCATGAGTATTCAAATCTTCCTTGTTCCAAAGAATAAACAAACTGCTATTCTAACTTCTACCCTAATCCAAAAAAGAGTATCATTTAAATTAAGCCTCAAAACCCCTCTATCACAGCTATAAGAGAAAAATATGGAAGAGTTCACTATAACCAGCACTCTTCCAGATGGTGTGTATCACCTGCTGCTTTGCATATATTAACTTTATTCTCAGTAAGGTTCCCAGTCATTTCAGTCTGGTCTTAACCTTTGTTATGTGGAGTGTTTTAGCTGCGATTGTTTTATGATTTAGGTTGTGATTGAGTTAAAAACTGCATTAAGCACAACAGAAGACTAGCCTGTGCCTTAGTAAACAAAAGTGCTCATTTTACATTTCTCATTCTAAGGATCAGAGACGTGTTGAATAAACTAAATTACACAGAAACATAATTGACCTTATGTACCTCAGGGAACATAATTGATGATAGAAAATGTATAATAGGACCTTTGAAGAAAACTGTCCAGAGAATGGGAAATAGAATATAAATTGAATATCTCTGATGAGCACACTTGTCTGATACTAATGAGTTCAGATTTTGCCAAGAATTTAGTACACTTTCCCAGCCCTGCTCATAATGCTAATATTTGTTATGATTTTCCAATAGCAAATGGATCGTTATACTTTTAGATTTTTGCAGGTTTGACATTGGAATTACTTGAATGTGTCTATGTCCTTTTTCCAGGTCAATTGTAGCATATCAGCCTGAGGGAAACAACAGTCACACGTTTGAAGCCATGGCCATGCTGAAGTCCTTTGGCATCTTCCTGGGGGTCTTCAGTGGTTCTTTTGCTCTTGGAATGGCAACTGGAGTGGTAACTGCATTGATATCCTTTACTGGTTCAATATTGTATGTCACTTTTTTGTTTGTTGGTATAAACCTTGGTGCTTATGAAAAAGAAATGGGTTCAAAGCTCATCTGTGTCATGTATTGGTCTAATTCTTTTTCTCTCCACATAATTGTCACTATTAATGTGAAATAATTTATTTAGTGGTTTATTCATCCTGAAGTTACTTTCATTGACTCCCTTCCACGTTACTAAGTTCACAAAGCTTAGAGACTTACCATTGCTGGAGACGGCACTGTTCTTCCTCATGTCCTGGAGCACGTTCCTACTGGCTGAGGCCTGTGGATTTACAGGTGAGCTTGAGTTCCCCATAGAATCTTCTAGAAACATATTGCATACTTCTATATTTGAATGCTTGATCCTCCTCATCCTGTTGTGTTCCTCAGGTGTGGTGGCGGTTCTGTTCTGTGGAATGACACAGGCTCATTACACCTTTAACAACCTCTCTCCTGAATCTCAGGACAGGACGAAACAAGTAAGATTAAAAAGTTACTTTTATTTTAGGATTTATCTCAGTCTACTTTTAGTTTCTCATAGTTTGCATGGTCTACACTCAAAAGTACATTCAAATGTTTTATTTATTATTATTTAAAAAAACAAAATGTTGTAGAAGTCTCATTCTCACCATGGCTGCATTCATTTGTCAAAATACAGTAAAACAGCAATATTGTGAAATATTATTACAATTTAAAATAATTGTTTTCTATTATAATCTAGTTTAAAATGTATTTATTATTGCGATGGCAAAGCTGCATTTTCAGCATCATTACTCTAGTCTTCAGTGGCACATGATCCTTATTGAAGACAATTATCAATATTGAAAACAATTGCGCTGCTTAATAGAAGGTTCAAAAGATCTGTTTATTTGAAATACAAATCTTTACATGATAAATAACATTATAAATGTATTTACTGTCATTTTTGGTCAATTTAATGTGTTCTTGTTGAAAAGTATTAATAATAAAAAACTGATCTTACTGACCCCCCAAATTTTTTAAGGTAGTTTAAACCTTGAAAACAAATGTAGGCACTAGCAAGGCTCTTGATTCAGTGAACATTGGGTCACTGTGGTTACTCGGTTACATCATGTGACATGATTATGACATTTTACATTAAAACATACAGTAGCTGATATTTATCATCAAGTTATTATTGTTGTGTAATATCATTGAGCATCTTCATTATAGCAGCTAATAAGTACAGTGCCACCATGAAATAGATGCTTGTCATGCATTGATTTTTCATAAGCAAAATAATGGTATTAATAATAAGATAATAATGACATTCAGACTTCTAATACATACAATACATACGAACATTAGCACAAAGTTGCAGAAAATTAATAAATTAACAAATACGTAAAACTATGTAGTTGTTTTTACAAATCTTTTCTTTTTTCAAAATTTGCTAAAGCAGGTCTGTTGAACTTGTCAGAGTTTAATATTTCTCTTTGGTCTATGAAATATATATATATATAATATAAACATCTCACTATGGTCACTGTGCTCTCTTTCAGTTATTCGAGCTACTGAATTTCCTAGCTGAGAACTTCATATTTTCCTACATGGGCTTGACATTGTTTACCTTCCAGAACCACGTCTTCAATCCAATCTTCATAGTGGGTGCATTTGTATCCTAAGACTTCAGCTTTGTGCTTAAGGACTAAATGATCAGATAAAGTTATATAATAGTCAAAAGGCTCTCAGCAAATGCAAAACAAGTGGAAAATCTGATGCATCACTATTATTAAAAGGGCAAGTGTTTGCTCATGTTAGACTGGCTGTTGTTGTTGAGTTAAATGTCCAGGGTGTTACAGCTCATTGTGTTTCCCAGAAATCAATGGCCCAGAACCACTTTTCATTAACAAAGCCCTCAGAAAGACTCTCACAACATGTAATGATTTTGATTAGGGTGTAGATGCTGTCAGTTCAGCATTAGCTCCATTTTTACAGCCACTCCTTGACACCACTCCATCCAGCTGGCCGTGTTTCTGGGAAGAGCAGCAAACATCTATCCCCTCTCCTTCCTGCTGAATTTGGGCCGCAAAAACAAGATCACACCCAACTTCCAGCACATGATGATGTTTGCAGGTTTGTGCGGAGAACTGTAATGGATTCCTATGGCTAGCCAAGATTTAAACTACGAAGAACATGCCAAAACCAAAAGTTTTATTGAGGTTAAATAGTTAAGTCCTTCAAAATCATGTTTTTTTTTTAATCCATTTTGTTGGTTTATAGTCAAACAGCAAAAAAGAAAAGAATCCAAACCAATTACATATGTGGTTTGAAATGTATTTACTATTTTTGAAAATTATTTTCAGTCATAATGGACCGATTGAATTTCAGTTTTTCATTCTCTTTCCATTTACTCTCAAATATGCATATACTGTGTACTGTGCGAACAAGTGAACGATTTTCGGATACAGCACATTCATGAATGTATGAACGGTAAAGTAATGCATGTGATGTGATAAATTCAGCACAGCAGTAAGATTTCAATCTGGACATGAGCAAAGACTCTTACTCACTGACTTTCAAAGGCACACTGAGTCTAAATCTGATTTGAAAAACTAATCAGATTTATGGCTAGTGCGAACCAATTCTTGGTATTTACTTGCCCTACTGCTCACTAGGTCTTCGTGGCGCCATGACTTTTGCCCTGTCGATCAGGGACACGGCCACATATGCACGGCAGATGATGTTTTCCACCACGCTGCTGGTGGTTTTCTTCACCGTTTGGGTCTGCGGTGGCGGCACAACTCAGATGCTATCCTGCCAGAATATCCGGTCAGTTCTAACCTCTTCTTTAGTCTGGATGATTTTGTTCTTGTTTTTGTCCATTTTCATGTGTAATATGTTAACACCACGAGCCATATAAAACTCTTTTCCAAACTTATTTAGCAGCTAAAACTCACTTTTGAGTGGATGGAATTGCTACAAACGTGTTTGTTCTGTAAGTGTTTTATTACTTTTGCTGTAATACTGTTTTGTGTTTGACAGTGTTGGAGTGGACGCAGATCAGGAGAACTTTGTAAGTGTTTTTGGTCTGCTGTAGTCAGCTGTAGGGTTTTATATCAGAGCAGAGCTGTTTAATGATGGTTTTCCTTTGTGTCCATCTGCAGATCGGCCCTGATGGAGTGGAAAGGAGGAGCACTAAACATGAGAGCGCCTGGCCCTTCAGAATCTGGTATAACTTTGATCACAAGTATCCTTTGCTTTGTAGCTCTTATTAGTAACCTATAAAAAGAACATAAAAGATGTTATCTCTCTCAAATTTCAACACGGGATCTTCAAATCCATTTAGTTGTTCTAAACCAATTTTTGTCACATATTGATGATTTTTGGCAACTGGGATTTCAGTTTGTAATACGTTCAGCACATGCATGAATGTGTAACCGGTAAAGTTATACATCTGATGCTTACGTTGTGTGATGAGTTCAGCACAGCAGCGTTTAAAAATTAACATGGACTTAGCTAACCTTAACAAATTCCATCCCATTTCCAATCTTCCCTTGCTTGCAACAATTTTAGAGCGAATTGTTGCTTCTCAATTACACAATCATCTTGCTGTACACAATCTCTTTGAGTCCCATTAATACGGCTTCCATGAACTCCCTAGCACCGAAACAATAGTAGTTAAGGTCACTAATGACTTGTTAATTCCTTTGGACTCTGTCTTCCAAATTTGATCCTTCTTGATCTCAGTGTCGCTTTTGACACTGCATGAAGATCTTTCTTTTTCACCCGTTTAGAGACATTAGAGTCTTTGGTGTTTCTGATACTACACTAAACTGGTTTAAGTCCTAACTTTCAGATTGTAAGCAATTTGTTACTATGGGTGGATGCAGGTCTGAGATTTGTTTGGCGCAATCTTGCGTTCCTCAGGGATCAGTCTTGGGCCCTTTATTATTTAGCATTTATATATTTTTTCCTTTTGGTCATCTCTTAAGATCACTCTGTCTTAACTTTCATTTTTATGCAGATGACACCCAGATTTAATTTTCTTTGCCATAACAATGACAAGACTGAGGTTATGTTCATTGGCTCACTCTTACCAGCTCGAAAAGCTGGATCATTAACCTTATGTTTAGATGGTTCTATTCAAACAAAACTACAAAGATTAGCAAATATGTTTGATTCTAATTTAACATTTGTTCGTCATGGCCATAATACAATTAAAACATAATTTTTTTATCTTAGAAATATGGCAGAATACATATTTCTATTTTTTTTTAATCTTTCCTGTTGCTCAAACAGTAGAGCGTTGGTGCTTGCAATGCCAAGGTCATGGGTTTGATTCCCAGGGAAAGCAAGAACTGATAAGAATTTAAGTGCTTTCCTTCAAATGCAATGTAAGTCGCTTTGGATAAAAGCTTCTGCTAAATGCATAAATGTAAATGCAAATTTTGCTATTCTGAACACAGCCCGACACTGCTAATGGTCAACTGGGAAGTTCAATCATGGTCCTGTTTACTGGACAGAGTTGCTTTGTATAAAAGTGTCTGAAATGAGATCGTTTGTGTTTTTGTTCGAAAAGCCTTCCTTAACCCTGTTGACTTGCAGTTATTTGAAGCCCATTCTGACCCACAGCGGACCACCTCTCACTGCCACACTTCCTACGTGCTGCGGTCCTCTGGCACGCTGCCTCACCAGCCCACAGGCATATGAGGTTTGTACTTTACCCACATACTGTGGACTAATAATTATATGTAGTTCTGTCTGGATCTTCCTCTTCTTTTAACTAGAAAGAAGGCCTTGATTTGACAGAAACTAGTCATTTATGTACTACCAGATGGCGACAGACCAAATCTGTGTTTAAAGGGATACTCCACCGGGTTTTCATATTACACTATGTTATTCCCTTAACTAAGACGAGCTGATGCATACCTCTCTCGTCTCAGTGCGTGCACTCTATCGCTCTGTATTGCCGCAAAACTATGTTAGCACTTAGCTTAGCCCAGTGCATTAAATATGGGCCAAAAAGAGAAGCGACCAAACACTTCCTCGTTTTCCCTATTTAAACACAGTTACTCGATTAGTGTAACTCGACCTAGGCTGGTGACACAAAATAAAATGTTGTGTTTTTCTAAGTGTTTAAAATTGATGACTATATTGTATGGCGGAATACCATAAAAAAGTGCTTTAGAGCACTTCAACTTGGCGCAATAATACCTTCACTCGTGAAAAGTCCTCTTACCGGCTCCCACTTCCTCGCTCTCCCCCTCCCTCTTATTTCCGTCAATGCAGCCAACGTGACATGCGACAAAGCGGGAGCCGGTAAGAGGACTTTTCACGAGTGAAGGTATTATTGCGCCAAGTTGAAGTGCTCTAAAGCACCTTTTTATGGTATTCCGCCATAGAATATAGTCATCAATTTTAAACGCTTAGAACGCCTAGGTCGAGTTACACTAATCGAGTAACTTTGTTTAAATAGGGAAAACGAGGAAGTGTTTTGTCGCTTCTCTTTTTGGCCCATATTTAATGCACTGGGCTAAGCTAAGTGCTAACATAGTTTTGCGGCAATACAGAGCGATAGAGTGCACGCACTGAGATGAGAGAGGTATGCATCAGCTCGTCTTAGTTAAGGGAATAACATAGTTTAATATGAAAACCCAGACAGCAAACTGACATTGAATCAACGTGGAAACGACGTCTCTCATGACATTGAAACAACGTTGATTTGCTCATCGAATTAACGTTGAACCAACGTCAGACGCGGCATTCTTCAAAGCTAAATGAAATCGAAAATTGGTTTGCTTTCATAACGTTGAAACAACGCGTTGATTTCAAGTTGATTTTCCGTTAGTTTTGAAAGAATGACGCGTCTGACGTTGGTTCAACGTTAATTCGATGAGCAAAACAATGTCAGATCAACGTTGTTTCGATGTCATATTTCCACGTTGATTCAATGTCAGTTTGCTATCTGGGAACCCGGTGGCCTTTAGGGGAGGGACCCCTCAAAATCACTCTTAAAGGTTTAGTGTGGTATTTTACACTTGAAGTCCTGTTTTAAGATCATTTCTGATAAAATAGAATGGTTTAGATTGAAATTTGTACAAATGCTGATGTCCCAAGATTTTTAGGTTACTGTGTTAGCACCAACACCCCCCCATACACCTACACAATGGTTGTCTATGTATGGAAGCCGCTACTGAATAAAAAAAAAGAATAATAATTGCGACTTTTTATCTCACAATTGCGAAATATGAAGCCAAATTTGTTAGAAAAAGTCACAATTCTGAGAAATAAAGTCGCAATTCTGAGAAATAAAGTCGCAATGCTGAGAAAAAAAGTTGCAATTGTGAGAAAAAAGACAGAATTGAGACTTTTTATCTCACAATTCTGTCGTTTTTTTTCTCACAATTGCGAGTTTACATCTCAATTCTGACAGATATAAACTCACAATTGTGAGAAAAAAAGTCAGAATTGTGAGATAAAAAGTCGCAATTACCTTTTTTAATTTCATTAAGTGGTGGAATCAAGCTTCCATATCTATGTGCACTGGAACAATCATTCATAAAACGCATTAAACTTTAGTTTACAAAGATGTGAAACTCACAGAGTGGTGTGGGGTGTTCACTGATATCCTCTCAAAAATTTGCTGCAAAAGATGCTTTCCAACAGGTTTTATTGTAGTTTTTGTACCAAGTCAAGTCAATGGAGTCGCTTTGCTGAATGACTAACGTAACTCACTCAGAAACTGCAAAAACCCAAGTGATGAAATCACCGTTGCGTTTTCTTTAAGAATGAAGAGCAGCTGAAAGACGACGACTCCGACCTGATCCTGAATGACGCTGACATCACCGTGAGCACAGATGCTACAGGTGCTCACACGAGCAGTACGGCCATCGGAGGAGTGGCCGTGAACTCTGACGAGACTCTGGATCGAGAGCTGGCATTCGGCGACCATGAGCTGGTGATCCGAGGCACCCGATTGGTCCTGCCCATGGATGATTCGGAGCCCCCGCTGGCTCTTGACTCCCACCGCCACCGGCACAAGTATGAAACGATGAGCTGAACGGGGCAAGCGGCGACCGAACAAGTCTCTCTTCTCTAAATCATCTCTCATCCGGAGCGATCTCTCTCAGCAACACTCCTCTCTCTGTAGTGGCTGGTTTGATGTCTCTACCTCATTCTTCACTCTTTCTTTTACATCATTACAGAAATGTAAATTATTATTCACTTCTCTTCTGCAAAGCATTATGGACTTTTTTTCTGTTTCCGGCGACTCTGCCGCTAACAAGACTGCTTAGCACCTGACATCACGGATCGGAAGCATGCTCTGGTTTCTCCAAGTTTATCATGACAAAAGAATAAGCATACTGAGTATATGTTTATTGCCTGTATAGCAAGGAGTAAAATTGCTGTGACCTGGCCTGCATGTTTATTTGTGTCCTCTCTTGTCGTGCGACCGCTTGTTTAGGAGAAGTGAAATGAGTCTGTGGCATATTCCTGTGGGTCTGAAGCTTTTTACTGCCTACTCTTGTTGTGACAGTCTAACAGAGGCATGCTGACCGGTGGCACTGCGTTTGCTCTGCAGTTTCAATCAAGTGCCTCGAATGTAGTTTTCCCCCTTTGAGCAAAATTGACACTCTTTGCCGTCCACTAGAGGGAGGCCTTGTGTTTTCATACCGTTTTGTTTGTATGAGTTGTGCGGGCGGACGCCATTCACTCAGAACTCAGAGTAACTTGTGATTGGCTTTAGAGACATGCTTGGATCTTATATTGTGACCTTTGACTGTGAATCTATGGAGGTTTTTACACCTTGTTGTTCATGTTATTGTTCTGCCCGGTCAGAAAATCGAGGGCCAATCATATAGTGCAATTACTTTTTCTTTTTTTTGTTGTTGTTGTAACATTTTTCTAAGACAACTAATTGGATATTAGCTTTATTCCATGTAGTCAAAAACAATTGAGCAAATGTCATGTTTAACTAAGAATGTTTTTGACATGGATTTGAGATTATCGGTATGCATTGGTATTACAAAACCACACTAAAAGTAAAAAAAAAAATTGCCCTTATTTTTTGTAGTTGGCAGAATTAGGCGATCAGTTTTAGAAAAAAAAAAATCTGTGGGACTTCATACGGTTAATATTTTTTTTTATATGGGCCTTTTTTCTTTTATTCCAAATTTAATAAGTCCTCTTTGTGTGTTTATGTTTTCTTACAAATTAAAAATCTTCAAATTTTTGAATAATTTTAAAAGGGCTGAATGAATAAAATAAGTTTTAACATTCACACCAAAAAAAAACAAACAAACAAACATTGTATTGGGCATCAGTCAAGTAGTTTCAGGCTTGACCATGTGACCAATTGATGGTCATCTGAAAATGAACGCAGCGAAATCAATCTGCATTAATGGTATTATAGTAAGATCTTTACATTTAGACCTGCATCCCAATTTTCATACTTTCCATTCCAAATTGTGTGTGAGTGACTGAGGATTAGAATTAGTGCAAAAAATGTACATGCTTCTTGCAGAATCTGAAAGATATGAGCTTCTTTTTTTAATATGGCTGATAAGAACCGATACAAAGCAAAGGGTACTTCAACAAGGGGTCTATGGTATTAACACAAAAATATCACGTCCAAAAACTGTTGTACTGTTTTACTACGTACTCCATGATGTCTTTCCCATCAGCAGTGAAGTATAGTGTGTGTAAACTGGGATGCTGCTAATGATTTAGAGTTATAATTGATTGCAAGATGATGCAAGAAGGCATGACCCAACACGATCTGAAAATGAAGGAACACTAGTAGAGGAGCGGACAGATCTTTTGTTAAATTCAGTCTGTGTTTGTAGTTTCTCTTTTGCTTTCTGGCAGTTAGTGGATTGTGTAGAAACCGCCGTTGTTTGGATGAGGGCCAGGGTGGTATCATTAACTGTGGAGCAGGAAGTGTTGATAACACACCACCCTGCCAACAATGTCTGTGCGGTGGAAAGTTGTACATGCTCTGGAACGAGAGGATGACGGCTGGTCATCATAGTGGCGCTACACCGATATCTCCTGCTGTGCAGGATCATGTGATGAGAGGCCACAGTATTATAATACACAGGAACAGTGTGTGTGTGTGTGTGTGTGTTTGAATAGATGCGGTAGAGCATTGTTAGCAGATTTGCACTTTTCATTTTTATTTTGCATTAATGAGATAACTGAGAAACGCCTACTAATACATATTTGTTTGTCAGAGCTTCATGAGATGAGCAAATGAACTCCAATACAGATCATGTCACTGCTTTTTGTCATTTGAACGAGAAATTCAGAGATCCAGGTAAATTCTTTTGGGGACAAAAATAATGTTAAGAGAAAAAATGTTCAGTATCTGTAAGCAGCAGCAGTAGCAGGATTTCTTAAATGTTTGTATTTGTAGTTTTGAAGAATGAAGCTCATTCCTTTCAGACTGCAAATGAAATTATGAGTATGTGAATCTTTGAAATTCAGTGTAAGAGTGGACAGAACTGTGCATCCCAGCTAGTCCAAAGTAGCAGAAGCCAGTTGAGTGGGCTTTAATGATGGTAAATGTGCTGTTTGTACTGGGTCGTAGCTGTGTGTTTGTCAGATGTGCAGATCTACTCTAATGTGTTGCAGGTACTGACTTGTTTACATCTGTGTAAATATTCTCATCTGTTCATGTGCGTGCAATGGTCAATAAACAGCCTGTGCTTTCAATGAAATGATCATGTGTAATGTCTGTTTTTATTTACAATCACTATATTACCAGACATTGGACAAACTCGGACATTCACAATATATACTTGTGAATTCACTATATTCACAAACTCTGACATTTTAAAACTGAAACAGACTCTTCGTAGGTGCTGACATCATTCCTAAAGCAGCTGTTAGGTAGCTGTGTAAATGAAATATGTCTGATGCTACGGGCCTATTAATGGCTTCTAATAGCAACAAGCACCATCACAATACTTTTCTAAACATGTTTTTATTTGATTAAAAAAATACATTAACAGTAATATGAAATATTTGACATTTTAAAATATTATTTTTAAAGTCAAGTCAAGTCAAGTCACATATAGCGCTTTTCACAATACAGATTGTATCAAAGCCACTTCACACTGATAACATGAAAGTAGCACAACACAGATCAACAACATTGCTAAACACTAAATAATCCCAACTGAGCAAGCTCAAAGCAAGCCAAAAGCAAGGCGACAGTGGCAAGGAACCAAACTCCATCAGATTGGATGGAGAAAAAACCTTGGGAGAACCCAGGCTCAGTCGGGGGCCAGTTCTCCTCTGGCTTACATTCATATTGTTTAAATATAAATATTAAATAAAAATATTGTTTATGAATAAAACGGCGCTATAACATATCGCAGGCGTTGAGTCGTCTCTTCACAGGCGTTGGGGCATCCGAAATCCCCGTGAGAGGCTGGACACAAAACTGGACCTGACGAACGCCATTTTTCTCGGGACAAGCGTCCCGAGATAACAGCAGAAAGGCAGATGGGAAATAATTAGCATAGCTGATGTTCATAATGATTTCCGTTATAACTCACAAACTCTCCGTAACCTGAACTCTCCGCAACCCAACCATACGCGCGACCCGTTTGTCTAAAAGGCTGTCGAGCCCCACTGGTGCGTTAAGCAGTTTCAGTGGCAAACGGTTCCGTATGGCATAACAGAGGACTAGAAGCCTTCTAGTCCTCTGTTATGCCATACGGAACCGTTTGCCACTGAAACTGCTTATACTGCTTCTAGTAGAAGGTAAGCATTATGTGAATGCTTGACTAAAGAGAAGCGTCTTTAATCTAGTTTTAAACTGTGTCAGCGAGTCAGAGGCTGGGACCGTATCGGGAAGGCCATTCCAGAGTTTTGGAGCTAAATGCGAGAACGCCCTCCCTCCTTTACTGGACTTCAATATCGTAGGAATGACCAGCCTTGAATTTAGTGATCTTAAGGAACGCGGTGGATTGTAGGGCGAAAGAAGGTCCGTTAAGTACATACGTGCTAAACCATTTAGGGCTTATAGGTCAGTAGTAGTATTTTGTAGTTGATGCGGAACTTAATAGGTAACCAGTGTAGAGATGATAAAATCGGTGTTATATGATCATCTTTTCTTGACCTAGTAAGAACTCTAGCAGCTGCATTTTGTACTAACTTGTTTATTGAGGATGCAGGACAACCAGCTTGCATTACAGTAATCTAGTCTCGAGGTCATGAATGCGTGAACTAATTTTTCAGCATCAGAAATAGATAGCATGTTACGCAGCTTAGCAATGTTTCTAAGGTGGAAAAAGGCTGTTCTTGTAACATATGAAATATGATTTTCGAACGACAAGTTGCGGTCTAGTATAACACCCAGGTCTTTTACTGTAGTGGATAAAGTAACAGGACATCCGTCTATATTAAAGTTGTATTGTGTTTTGTGAGAATTTTTTTTGACCAATAAGTACCTCCGTTTTATCTGAATTTAATAGCAGGAAATTACGCGTCACCCAGCATTTTATATCTTTGAGACACTCGTCATTTTAGATGAGTTAGTGTTTTTATCTGGTCGTGATGAAATATTGAGTGTCGTCAGCGTAACAGTGGAAATTAATTCCATGTTTTCTTATAATATTACCAAGTGGGAGCATATTGAGAATAGCAGAGGGCCTAAAACCAATCCTTGCGGTACTCCATAGTCTACTGACGTTTGATTTTTTCCCATTTAAACAGACAAAATGAGAACGGTCCGATAAGTACGATCTAAACCAGCTAATGCCTGTCCCTGGACACCGGTGAAGTTTTGTAGTCGATCCAAGAGTATTATATAATATATAGTGTCGAACGCAGCGCTAAGATCAAGTAGGACTAGTATTGAGATACAGCCTTGGTCAGAAGCTAAAAGTAAATCATTTGTAATTTTAACTAGCGCAGTTTCTGTACTATGCGGGTTTGAATCCTGACTGGAATTTTTCATAGATATCATTTTCTTGCAAAAAAGAGCACAATTGAGCGGACAAGTATTTTGGACATAAATGGAAGATTTGAAATGGGTCTGTAATTTGCCAAGTTATTTGGATCTAATTGCGATTTCTTAATGAGCGGTTTTATTACTGCCAGCTTGAATATTTTTGGGACATGACCTAAAGATAAAGTTAATAATATTGAGGAGAGGCTCTTCCACTGCAGGTAATAGTTCTTTCAGTGGGTATTGGATCTAATAAACATGTTGTTGGTTTAGATGCAATGATAAGTTTATTTAGCTCCTGTCCTATCGTTGTAAAGCGGTTTGTTCTAGAGGGGCCATAATTGAAGCTGAATCATGAGACACCATTGTACATTTATAATTTTGTTTCGGATGCTTTCTATTTTCGCATTGAAGTAATTCATAAAATCATTACTACTAAACTGTAACGGTATATTTTGCTCTGGTGATGTCTGTTTTGTTAGTCTAGCCACGGTGTTAAATAAAAACCTTGGATTATTTTGGTTATTTTCGATTAGTTTGCGGAGGAGATGCTCAGCCCTGGCTGTTTTTAGGGCCTTTTTATAACGTGACATACTGTCTTTCCACGCGATTCTAAAGACCTCTAAATTAGTTTTGTTTCCATTTACGCTCTAAGTTGCGAGTTTCTCTCTTGATAGCATGCGTAGCACTGTTGTACCATGGTGCTTTAATTTTCTCTCGAACCTTTTTTAATCTAATTGGCGCAACAATATAGTAAGAATGGTGCTTAAACTGCTAGTCATTTCCTCTAATTTGTTTGGGTTCACTTAGCAGATAGATCAGGTAAGCTATTTGAGAATCCATCGATCTAAGTGGTTGGAGGATTGTTCTGCCTGGTCTATAACGTGGTGCAACATGACATATTTCATCAGTACGTATTATTATTATTATTATTTTTTTATTAACAACCACATGAAGTACAAAGATCAGTACGTATTATGCAAGTCACCATGTAATGATCAGTGACATCATCGCTTTGCGGTATAATATCTATATCAGTTGGATCGGTTCCATATGATATAATTAAATCTAGTGTATGATTTAGACGATGAGTAGGGACCACTGACGTTTTGTTTGACCCCAATCTTAGAAAAAAAAATCTTAGAAAAAAAATCTTCGTCGCCCGTGACCTTTTGAACGTAATTACGTAATACGCGACGTTGCAAACGCGCCTCACAGAATAGAGCAAGGCTAGTATTTGTCCTTAGAAAAGTTACATTTTTGGAATACGTTTTGAAATAACCGATCGTTTCGCATGATAAGACCCTTATTCATCGTCTGATATCGTTTAAAGACATTTAAGCTGCATCTGAAACAGTTAACCGTCTTTTGGACCTTAAACCATCCGGTTCCCATTGAAGTCCATTATATGGAGAAAAATCCTGGAATGTTTTCATCAAAAACCTAAATTTCTTTTCGACTGAGGAAGAAAGACATGGACATCTTGGATGACATGGGGGTGAGTAAATTATCAACAAAAGTTTTTTTAAAAGTGAACTAATCCTTTAAACGCAGGCAGACACAGCAACAGTTGTAACTTGTAGGCAGGTATATTGATCATTAAATCAGAGTTTTGTTGTCTTGAATGATTCATTCAGTCATTTTCATTCAGTCATTTTAATTCATTCATTGATGTATGTCACGTAAGTAATCTAAAAAAAAAATATAAATAAAAAATAACCCCGAAAGCGGCCGCTTAGTTGAGAAGTTCGCTTATGCCTCGGGCCGGCTCTGAACTCAACAGACTCAGTGCTCAGTTGATAAACCGTTGGGCTTTAATCAAGAAGACCTGAGTTGAATTCCCTTTCTTGCTTACGTTAAATTGTTGTGATTATATCAAACAAAGTGGCCAAAACAACATTTCTTCAACCCGGTATCATGACAAGACGTGAAATAATCACTTTGGTGCACTTTTGAAAACGCGTAGATGTCACGGTTTAAACCCCCTCAAACGTGAAACTTACACTTAAACTGAAACTTACCTATTGGTTTTCATTAAACTGAGAATTGTGTTTTATTGACGATCACTGAGAAATGGTCTAATATTTAAAATGCAAAAAAAAAAAACATTTATTATTTTCAAGATGAAAAGGATTCATTTGCCTCGATCCACGCTGAAAAAACGTCTAAATGTCACATTTTTAATGAAGCAGCCTAAATAGTCCACTTTGGAAAATGTGTAGATGTCACGGTTTAACCCCCTCAAACGTGAAACTCACACGTTTGCGTTAACACGCTCCAAAGACTAAGAGATATCCGGATGTTTATTCGCCTCTGCCATAACGACCTATTGGTTTTCATTAAACCGAGAAAATTGAATTTTGTTTTATTTACGATCACCGAGAAATGTTCTATTATTTAAAATGCCAAATATATATATATATATATATATATATATATATATATATATATTTTCTAGGTGAAAAGGATTAATTTGCCTGGATCCACCCCGAAGAAAACGTCTAAATGTCACGTTTTTAATGAAGCAGCCTAACGAGTAAAATGTCTATTTTTCCGGCGTTCCCCCAGCTCCCCGTTTAAGCAAAAGGTACGCTAAAACAACGTATTACATCGACGTTAAACCACGTTAACCGTGTTAACCATAACCTTTTAAATACTCAACCTAGTTCCATTGCTTAGCAACGGGAAGAAACTCCTGTAACTTCAGTGCCCAACCCGTATCACGACAAGACGTGAAATAATCACGTTGGTCCAATTTGGAAA